TCTTTTAATTGAGATTTATACTGGGATTTCATTATGATTTTGTTGTTGTTTGCTTGCTTGTTTTTGAGTCTGTAGCTTTGAGGGTTTGGAAAGCACAGTGTGTTTAGCTCAACCAGCAACATTTTGATGGATATGATTTGGTCAAAACAGATTTCTGTTTGTTCTCACTATTTTGTATCTTTTATTCTAAAAATCACAGGCACATTTTCTCTTCAACAAGGTCACAAGAAACTTTTCAAAAGCCTGTTTCAGTGATAGAAACAAAATATGAATTCATATTTTTTTATGGGAGAAAAAAAGTGTCATTATTAAGACATTAAGTATTAAGAGAAAAAAGAATATTTACAATATGCATTCTAATGCTAAACCAATTACAGACAAATTATTACTGCTTCACTGCTTTTTATTGCTTTAATAGTGTTGTGTTATACTCAAGGCATACTATCTTCATTAGCTGGAGGAATAAAATCAGAATCATATGCAGACTTTCTCRGTAATTCATTTCATTTCCTGTTTTCTATCTTTTTGGCGACTTCTGTAGAAGGACTATTTAGAAAGTCTCCCCTTTGAAAATGGCCCAACCAGCAAAGGAAACTTTTATTTAAATGCTTTGTGTGCCAGTGATAGGAATGCACTCCACAAAGTTAACTTCCATTCCAAACCGGGACAGGACCAAGTGGAGAGGAGGGGGAGAATGGAGTGGGGCAAGGTGGCGGGTGTGGGGAGCGGAGACTAGGGCTTGTCTGTTTCATAAGCCACAGTGATAATGTGTTGTCCACGTGTTAAAGGCTAGAATGAGTAACATAGAGCCCAGTTGTCTTAACTGGGTCAGAAAAATACCATTGACTTCAGACACTAAACAATCATAGGTAACTTGTACACATTAAAAAAAAAAATGTTCATGCTATTAAAGGTTCTTGAAAATAAGACAATTCTTCTCTTGTTTGCAAAAGAAAACCTGACCAAAGGAATAGACTTCAACCCTTCCACCCTTCCCTCGCAGCTCTCCCTAACCATCCCGACCCCATGGATGGGACAGTTGGCTTGATCACAAAGGCAGCAGAAATGAATAAAACAGCTTCATCCTGGAGTCCTAGATACCTCTGCAGTGCATTCCCAAAAGACTCCAGGCTTTCCAGGCTATAGAATCTACCCTTTAGCCTTACTCTCCTGCAGGAAAAAGGAGAAATCCAGGGAGAGGAACTTTGGGCAGCTGGGAGCACTGTATTTCCATTTACAATGCAGAACCGCTTTGAGTGGTGAGCTCCACTCGTCTTATTATTAAATGCATTATACCTTGTGACAGCCAATAGTCCTATCTGGATTTGAAGTGCAAAAGTTGATTCCAAAGGGACTGGCATCTTTGTTAAAAATAGAACACCCCTCATCCACAACCCTTTCCCCTTACAAAAGAACACTGATTCAGTTAAAGAGTACATGTCATAAAATCTGATTCAGAAAATATGTGATGAAATTTTATCCCCATGAAAAGAAAATGTTCTGTTTTTCCCATTACAAATGACTTGGTTCCTGCCAAACCTCTTCTTATCCCGGATGTCTCAGAACATCTTGGTATAACACAACACAGATAGGGCAGCACGAACATGGAGTCATAATTTAATTCAACATATACTCAAGGAGAACAGTCATTTAAGAATACCTTCCTGAAATCCCTTYTCCTGCCACCAATAAATAGCTCTTGATAGTAAAAATCTTTTTTTCCCTTTAATTTTCACTTAAAAAAGAAAAGATTCGAATATTTACATTCAGACTTTGCACACTAAGCTGGAAATGGAATATGCGGCMGGTTTTCCTATGGGCCACTCTGGACATCTGGTGGTCTAAGAGACTGTACAGAAGAGCCAACCTGAGTGTGTGACTTCCCACACCTACACTGCAGGAACTACCAGGTCTGCTGTAAAGTAGGCAGTCGAGAATGTTAAAGCTTGAGACAAGCATGTTAGGATCTAAAATCTCAAGATCTAAATTATCAATATCCCCTTTACTGTCTATACAGACTCCCAGGGAAGGGGAATGTGAAACAGTGCAAGGTTTCAGTCAGGAGCAATAAGTTCAAGAGATCTATTGTACAACAAGGTGACAGAAGTTAATAACAATATATTGTATTCTTGAAAATTTCTAAGAGAGTAGATATTAAGTATGTCCACCATACACACACACAAAAGATAAGTATGATAAGTATATATGTCTTAATTTGTTCATCTTAGCAATCCACACTGTGTATATATTTTAAAACATCATGTTGTATACCATAATTCTACACAATTTTTATTTGTCAATTTAAAAAAAAAGAAGAAAGAAAAAATAGACTCATCCCTATATGTACTGGCTCAGAGAAGTTTGACAGCTTGAATATTCTTATAGCAGAGGAAGTTGTTTAAATTGAGTAAATCTCTGTTCTTTTTAAGCATGTGGTCTTTTTTACTGTGTTATTCTCCTATTTTTTTTAATGGCTTTGATTTCTTCTTGTGCTGCTTTAATCATTTGTGAAGCCTGGCTGATCTCTGAGGTTTTTCAGCCTTATACAGAGGGATCTATTCAGCAACCCTGCTTTGCAAAGGCCCTCAGGCCATGTCTGCCACCCCAAGAGTCTATGCCTGTGTCCAAGACTCCCTTTSGCTTCCTCCACACCTGCTCATGTGCCTGGCCCTGGATTTCATTTCTCTGTTTCTGACATCCAAGGAGGGAATGACATCCCGGAAACTCATTTCTAATGTTTATACATTACCTAGTGTGTCCATGAGTGTGTTGTGGAAGGGGGCGTTTCTATATCAGCTCAGGCCCTCCCTCCTACAGCAAGTTCCTTCCAAATTCCTTTGTAGTGCAGAAACAGAGTCTATGAATTCGGAGACATTAAAAGAAAGTCCAATCTTTAAGGAACAAATTGCAATAAAATTAATATGGTTTAAAGTATAATGGACTCAGTTTATACTGATCATATAAACATTGTTTCTTCATTCTAGAATCCAAAAGCTACTGTTCCCCTCCCCCACCACCACCCAATACAGTTACCTATAGGAAGAATTCTACTTATTAAAATCATAGATTTTCATCACAGGAAAGGAAGCTTGGTGGCCCTCAAGGCCATGCCAGGAATGCAGATGAGTGAGTCATGCCAGATGAAAGACCACAGGGAGTGGTGTAGACTGTAGTAAAACAGGGACCCCAAGTCCCATCTATAGCTATTCAGACTCCATTTTTAAAAACCACTGAGGTCCAAGCCAAACCTTATGCAAGCTGAATTCAACCCAGAGCCCATTAGTTTATTAGCACTAATTAGTCCAATGCTCCTCACTGTGAAACAGAAAATGAAATTAGGAATGAATTATTTGTTCAAGGTCATAATACTACTCAGTGAAAAGGTGACACTAGGCTGGCCTTGGTTTCTAAGCAAGATCGGGAGCACTTTTCCCTGCCCTATTCTGGCTCTGGCTTTTAAAACAAACAAACCAAAAAAAACTTTAAAAAATAAAGGTGAACCCTCTTACGTGCTGCTCTCATTAAACACGGACAAACTCCTTTGCCCATAATTTCTTTTAACAACAAATTCTAAATAGCCTCAGAATATGGCTAAGTTGGTTGGAAGCCTGAGCAGAAAGACAGGCTGTTTTACTGAAAAGGCTGGACAATTCTTACATAAGCATGTAGCTCAGGTTTCCCAGCTCGGCACTGAACCTAAACAACCACAGAAAGCTTTGGAAATGTCTGAGCAAGTCAGAAACTCACATSTGATGGAAGGCTCCAGAAGCCCTGATGTGTCATTTCCCAGTCGCAGCATGACTCGGGGCCAGCTTATTGCCTATAGTGCACCCTGAGAAATGATTTGGGGCCCAGCAGATAAAGTGTGGTCAGAATCACTCTGACACATAGATCCTGGTGGGCCACAGCATGTGACTTTGTGCAGGGCCAGGATTTGCTTTTGGTCCCTCAGGGGCATTATATCTGTCTTAAAAGAGTTTGATTCTACAGGAAAGAGGGTGTATGGGGTACAGACCAGAACACACCTTTGGAACAAGACAGATACTACTGTGTCTTCTCTCATTCAGWCAAAGAAYATTCCTGAGTGCCCACTGTGTGCCRGGCGCTGTTYTAGGAGATCGTGGTGAACAAAACAGAAAAGTCCCTGCCTGTGTGAGGTTTACATTTTACTGGCAGGAAACTGACGGTAAATAAAATAAATAATTCAATTATATAGTGTGTTTGAAGGTGCCAATGCCAGGGGTAAAATTAAGTAAAAATGGAGAGAGTACAATTTAAGTGGCATGTTCAGGGAGGACTCACTGAAAAAGACTTGAGGGAGGTGAAGGAGTGCTCAAGGAGGGAACAGGCTGGCCTAGAAGTGACAGGGTGGGTGGACAGAGGCAATGAATGGTGCGCAGACCATTTTCCATTACCATGGGTGAAAGAGGGGGCTGCTGTTGGATATGTTTTGAAGAACTTCCTGATGGATTGAATGAAGGATCAGAGGAAAGGAATAGCCAGGGATGATTCTAAGGTGTTTGGCTTAAGCAACTGCAAGAAGGGAAGTGCCATTAGCTGAGATGGGAAGGYGGTAGGAGGAACGGGTTGCAGGGAGGGGCAGAGAACCAGGAGGTGATATTTGGAAACGTTAAGCGAAGATGATGAATAGAGAATTGCATGTGTCTGAAGCACATGAGGAGAGGCCTAGATTGAGGATATGAATCGTCTTTTTAAGACTGTGAAATTTACTGACAGCACCAAAGAGTGACGACAGACAGGGAAGCCTGGAACCTTCAATATTAACAGAGGAAGCTGTCAGGTAAGCTCTACCATGCAGGAGCTGGGCAGAGGCTGTAGGTGCCAGGTAGGGCCACGGCTCTCAATCCCCCGATTGTTGACAGTGAACCCCTCTCCAGGCACAGTCCTCAGATGAAGGAGACCAGCTACCCTGCCCCAGGAGCAGTGGGTAGTCCACGGCTGGTCCACCTGGAGTCCAAAGCCCAACCTGATTCTGATAGGCTCTCAGTCATACTGAGTTAAGGAAAGTGGGTGTTTTAGCTCACTTGGAAAGATGAGAGGCTCAGGCGAGCAAATCCCACAAAGGATCTGAAGAACTGCAGAGAGCTCAAGCAGAGGAAAGTGCTCTTGAAACCGAGATTCATCAACTGAGGCACTTTCGAGATAAACTAAGGGCTGAAGGGAAGCAAGGCAAGCCAGAGTTAAAGCATCTTCTGCCAACGTAGAACCTGACCAAACAGTAGAGATCAGTGAGCAAGATGTTTTGGAAAGAAACCAGGAAACCATGAAAGCCATTCTGCAAGCATATCATTTTACAGGGCTCAGTGGAATAGTGACCAGGCATAGAGCCTGTGTCTGTATCAGCACTGCTTTTGAGGGGAACTTACTGGATTCCTATTTTGTGGACCTTGTCATACAGAAGCCACTCTGAATCCATCATCATTCCATCCCAGTATTCATTCCTTTAGAAAAAATTGCTGCAAAATACGTACAGACTGATATTCAGCAGTTCCTCTTCAGTCTGTGTGAATACCTAAACGTTTACTCTGGGAGGAAGAACCAGGCAGATCAACTTCAGCCATTTTTCTGTTCATTTATTTTTCTGAAATTTAATGAATGGGCCCTCTTTTGGTAGACAATTTTGAGGCATCACAACTACCTGTAGGGCAGCAATCCTCCCTCATACACTTGCTTTGTTCCTTGCATTTCTAGAGTAACTTTGCAGCCCTTCTGACTGGGCCCTTGCAGAGAAACTCCCTGTGCAACTTGCTGTCATTTACTTATAAGGTGGATCTGGGGGATCAGTCCTTCCCATTTTGTACCAGATTGCTATCTAAGGACCTCAGGAGACCACTTCCAACTATGTCACTGTTACATATCAAGGAGTGGAAGCATTGTCCACTTCATGGGAAAAGCAAAGAGCATCTCATGAAACTTTATTCTGTACGAAGCCCCTGCATCAAGTGTTTGCTTCATTTTCAAGAGGAGGAGAAAAAACTGGATTTGAGTCTGACCTAAAATATTGTTTCCATTGGGAACACATCTGAAGTGTGGTCCTAAAACTGAAAACTGAAAGGCTCTCATGCCTTGCTTGGGGACCATCCTTGCTCTAATAGGCACTTGCTTCTTCATCAGAATGACAAGGAACACGTTTGAGTCCCATAGGCACTGGAATTCTTAGACAATTCTCCATGATTAATCACCTGTWATGGTCAGGATCATATCTTCTTCTGAGGTMTTAATTGATTTAATCATATATTTTAGCCTCAAATAAGACCTTTTTGTGTTGTAATAGGACATATTTTGTGAAAGACTAGGAACATTTCAATCTTTTGTGGGAGCTTCAAGTAATTTTGCCCTCATTTTCCTAAGACTTTGAAAAGAAAGTTCTTAGGACACTCTAGATATGGAGTACATCATATAGTTAAGAAGGGAAGTGTGTTTAATCTTTGATTTGGAACAGTGGCCRCTGTTTTATAAGGAATATGATGTGCCAGAGTACTATAGATAAAATAATTGGGGTTTCATGTCTAATATTTTGTTTCCTAAAGCATTTAGTAGAGAACTGAATGCATAGTCACTGTGGAAAAAAAAAAAACTGTTGGAAATCTTGTAAATGGAAATGGACCCTCCTTTTTCATGTCTTCCTTCCCCCTCCTAGAAACTCCAGGCCCCGGCTGCACAGTCTCACTCTCCATCTTCAGGACCTTTCAGTGTGTTGTTTCTCCCTGTGACCGTGGGCCTCTGATGTGCTGGTACTTACTTTTCCCTGGCTTAGGGCCAGTCAACAGTTGTGGAAACCTGAGTCTGGCTGATCAGGATCTCCCATCTCAATTCTTACCCCTCCTTTGCCCAGTTACAGAAAGTAGGTGTTGCTTCCTGAGGCCCAGAGCTATATTCAGGCTTCACTCTGAAATGGCCACTTCCTAGACCTCATTAACTTGAGATACCTCTGTGTGTTTAAGAATAAAAGAGGGGCTCGGGTTGTGGCTCCGTGGCAGAGCACTTGCCTAGCCCGTGTGAGGCACTGGGTTCAATCCTCAGTACCACATAAAAATAAACAAAAGTATTGTGTTCATCTACAACTAAAAATTTAAAAAAAAAGAATTGAAATGCATTCCACTGTCATGTATAAATTAAAAAAAAAATAGCCCTCCCCCATACAAATCTCCATTACTGTTTATTTCTCAGGGATTCTGTCCTAAAACAGGCTTTGGGGCTTAGCAACTTACTTTGACAGTTTGCTCATTGGCAATGAGGTGAAAATTGTACTTAGCTGGCAGGCTGGTTGTAGGGATAAGAGGTATTTGAAGTGCCTAGAACAATGCTTAATTAATAGTAGTCCCTGAAAAGCTGGTGGCTACTCTTGTGAGAATCATAATTCTACCTTCTTAAACCCAAAAGATGATTAGAACAGGACCCATCAGGTGCTCAGGAGAGCSACTGTTCCCYCCTGAATGCCTGGATTACATTCAGCTGCTTCTTTGATGGGCTGTGACAGTACCCTCTGTTTCTCCAGTCATAAKTTTATGTTACCCTCCCCTATACTATTATTGCATATTTAATTTTCTCCCACCCTGTTTTCTGCAAGTTCTGTGACWGTCTCATTTGTAGTCAGATCTCCAGGGACTAGCATGAAGTACACATTCCATAAATACTGAATTGAATGAATTGACATCTATTCAAGTTATAGAGTAAGGCCTGGGTTGGCTTGGCTTAGCTCTGGAATGACAGACCTAAGCGACCTTTATGAGGAATTTGAGCCTGATCTGTGAMGCCCTAAGAAGACTCTCCATCTACCAATCTACCCATCTAACTATCAATTCAAAACTTAATTCTAGAAAACTACTCTGTGCCAAGCACTGGAAATACATTAGTGAACAAACTCTTATAGTCAAGGGATATGAWAAACAATGAAGAATCAGCAAAATACTTTAAAAGCCACAAAATCTGCTATGGAGAGGAAAGGTTATGGGGGGGTTGTCATTTGGATAGCAATCAGGGACTCATCTGAGAACAGGACATTTAAGATGAGAAATGAAAAAAGAAGTAGAAGCCAGTTATGGGRAAGGTAGAAATGTTTCAGACCAAGATGGATTCGGAAAGAGGGGAAAGAGGTCAACGTGTTGAGGAAAGGAGAAAAAACCCACTTAAGTGGAGCCGAAGGAGGTGRAAGCTGAGCTGGAGAGGGTGGAGCAGGTCATGCGGAACTGTAGACATTTCATGCAGAACAGGATGATGTAAGAGTCTCATTCTTGGCACCATCTAAGAGATGAATGGGCGGGGAGCAAGTAGATGGGTAGGGCGAACTAGTCAAAAGTTGTCACAAGAAACAGCAACAGTGAGATGGAGAAAGGCAAATCCTTTCCATCTATATTTTGAAGGGAGACATGAACAGGACATAGTAAAGTGGGAGGCAAGGGAAAAGAAGAATCAAGAATGGCCCTTAGCTGCGTGCAGTGGCACATGCCTGTAATTCCAGCGGCTCAGGAGGCTGAGGCAGGAGGATCACCAGTTCAAAGCCAGTTTCAGCAAAAGTGAAGCACTAAGCAACTCAATGAGACATTGTCTCTAAATAAAATGCAAAATAGGGCTGGGGATGTGGCTCAGTGGTCACATGACCTTGAGTTCAGTCCCCTGTACCAAAAAACAAACAAACAAACAAACAAACAGAATGGCCCTTAGCTGGGTGCAGTGATGCATGCCTGTAACCCCAGTGGCTTGGGAGGCTGAGGCAGGAGGATCGAAAGTTCAAAGCCAGCCTCAGCAACTTGGCAAGGCCCTAAGCAACTCAGAGAGTTCTTCCCACAAAATAAAAACTTTAAAAGGCTAGGGATGTGATTCAGTGGTAAAGTGCCCTGGGGTTCAGTCCTTGGTATCAGAGAAAAAAAACAAAACAATAAGGATGGTCATGTGGTTTAGGGTTTGATCCACTGAACAAATGGTGATGCCAAATAATAGGTAAGACTGAGAGAAGAGAGAAGGATTTGGGGAAAGAAGCAAGAGTCCCCTGTTTTGGAAATGCTCCATTTTGGAAAACTGAGAGCAGGCAATGGGACAGCTAGCTGAAATCAGTCATCTCCCTTCCTGGGCTTGCCTGGGGTGTGAACAGAGCCCAGACTCTGTTGAGATTTCCTAAAGTTCTTGGGGACTCAGAAAACCATGGGAAGGAAGGGCCTGCAGTACTGCGGGGAGATTAAGTAACAGGAGAACAGAGCATAAAGCGGCACTGTATCCAACAGAGAGCCACACTCTATGTTCTTGGAAACCAAAGCGCAGGAGAGGGAGTGTCTGAACCTAATGACCAGAAGGAGAGGTGTTACCYAATCAGGAAGACAGCTCAAGGCCAGCTCTCAGCACGTTGCCCTCAATTCCATGAAGAAGGGTCCCTCTTCCCACACGCCCCTGGAATGGAAACCAGGTTTGAAAGCAAGCATGGCCCTGCCAGCTGGGTACCATTCAGACATCTGCAGACAATCAGCAGAGCAGCCTTCTCGTGCATTTGGTCCTGTTCACAACTGGCATCATGCTAAGAAAAGTAAATTCTTTTAGTGACCACTGGACTGTTAAATCCACAAAGTATGCTTTGCAGCTTGATGGGTGAGAAAGGTGGTCTGGAGCATTGTTCTCTTGCTTAAGTTTTGGGAGATGTGGAGCATTGAGCCCACCAGCCACTCTTTCCGGCCAAAGACAGGACCAACTGAAATCCTAATGCCMTTTAGCTATGAGCAACACAGAAATCCTGACACTGGTCAGCCTGACTCAGAGAACTCCCATTCCGTTGCCCTCGGGCCTCTCTTGTGCCACTTTTTTGGCCAGTCCTCAGTGCAGTTCAAGCACACTTTCTGTACTGGGAATGAATGAAATTGTCTAACTACTTTCACTGTTCTGTGCTGGTGAATTTGCCTATCTCTAGTAAGATTGCCACTGCTATTTCCCCTTTGTGATGGGGCTGTTCCTYTTAGCCAGGAAAGATTTAATACACAGTAGCCAGATGACACATAAAAACAGAACTCTGATCCACACCTGCAGTGACCTGCCCAGGAAMCCAACCCTTTATCTACAATAAACAGCCCAGGAAGCCAGACTGCTCTAAGTCAAACCTTGGAGCTAGTTTGCACTTTCTAGTGACAGTCCAGGAAGCTCAACAGTCCCTTCTGGAACATCCACTTATATGGGCTTGATTAATAACTGATGGCTTTCCTAACTTTTGTCCCTGCTTCCAAATTAGGACSAACAAGAGAAAGTCAAATATACATCTTAAACTAATCACGCAAGATGCCCACTTCAATTTGACCTATCTACAGCATCCCCATTCCAAAAGGCTCCAATCATGCCTGAAATCTGACCTTTTCCCCTCTCTAACTCTCTCTTTCTCCTCTCCTTGCTTTTGAGTCTGTACCCAAATATCCATGATGTTGGCTGATTCCCTCACTATTGCCAATTCTGAATAAATACCTTTTTCTGCATTTATTTGGTTGGTCTTCATTYATTTCCACAGTCACATATTGACATTTCCTTTGTGAATTTTCCAAAGTAACTTAATAGTGAGTTTGGCAGCCATATTGAGCCCTTGTGTAATACTTAGTACAAGTTAAGCTGCTGTAATAAAGAGATCTCAAAGTACTACGGCCCAAATATGAAAGAAGTTTAATTCTCTCCTATATGTGTCTTCAGGGAGAGGGCAGTTGAGGGTGGAAAAGCAATTCTGCTCTTTGGGGCTGCTCAGGAATCCAAATCCCTTTTCTTTGTTCCTCTACTCTTCCCTGGGACATTGACCTGGCCCTCTCAATGGAAACTGGCTCACCCCCACCATATCTGGGTTCTGGCCACAAGAAGGAGGAATGACAGACGAAGGAGGTAAGAGGCTTCCCTTTCCAGGATGTGATCTGGAAGTTGCATGTATCATTTTCTCTTACAACTGGCCAGAACTTAGCCACATGGCCTCCCCCAGCTGTCAAGGGGGCTGGGAAATGTCATCTCTCCAGGTGCCTAGCCAGTGAATATTTGAGGGCAATTGACAGCCACACCCACATTATGCTGAGTA